TTATTTTTTTTTTTTTTTTTTTTTTTTGTTCCTAGGCAATATGATCACCTCAGGCAGTTTGGTTTAAAGGCTTTAGCCAATGTAAAAATATATTTAAATTAGCCAGGCGTTTGGTTTGGGTTTTTTTTTGTTGGTGTGTTTTGGTTTTTTTTTTTGTGGTTTTTTTTTTTTTTTTTTAAAAAAGACTTAAATACTGTCTGTGTTTTACAAAGGTGGTTCTATTATGATAGCTGCATCAAACACAGAATATTAATCAGACTGTGAAGCTCCACTAATTATATGCCACATTTCAGTAACTTAAATTTTGTTAAGTGGCAGGGCCACAGTTACCCTGTGCATAATCTAACTCAGTTTTAAGTATTTTCCTTTTTGTTGTCTGATTTTATTCTACAGAGGAAATGACAGGGTCATTTGGAAATAACTGCAGTGAAAGATCAAAAAGGAAATCTGATTTAGAACACTGTATAATTGCCTGTGCTAGAGAAAAAAAAAAATCCAATGAGTTTACAATCCATTGCTATAAGAATTCTCTGGAAAACACATAATGCAGTTTCTCTATAAGGATATTCATTACAACACTAAGTACTGCTTTTATTTGTTGTGGCTGCATCTCTCTTAAAGAAGCAGCTCTTCTCATTAGGCCATTGGACTTTCATTCCGTAGGTGATACTTTCAGCACACGTGGAGCACAAACACGCTCACTGAGATAAAAGACGACATTTCGGTTGAAGCAAATCATTTCAGTTGAAGCAAGTCATTCACTGACTCGTCTCAGAGTCTTCATTTGAGAAAGGAGATAATACTGTAATTAAGCTAAGCTCCTGGAAGACCACGGTTCTTGTTATTTGGGCACATCTGGCCATTACAGTTTACAGTCCGCCGTTCCAAAAGAACAGACTTTTATTGCTGGAGCTAGAAGAAACATTTTGAGACATTAGCGGCGCTCGGTTTAGAGTATGGATCATATCCAGCTGTGGGCCGTGGTATGTCTACACGGGCTGTTTGCTTGGTTTTGGTTTTTTTTTTGGTAAGACGTTGATCTACACAGCAAGACAGCAGTCAGCCTTTCGGCACAGACTCACCGTGTACTTTCAGCCCTGAGATTTCCCAGTCAATCTCCTGCCCCTTTCTGCTCCCTGAGCAGATGCACTGCAGAGCACGCAACTCCAGGTGTGCTTCTGCCATGGCGATACACACCAAACCACATCAGCTCCACTAATTTGTCAGGGGTTGAGCTGTCCATCTGAGAGCCCACAAACAGAGAAGGGAATGCTCTCCTTTATGGATAAGCATTTCTAAAATTTGTAGCAAAAGAACTCTACGTGGCGTTCGCCTCTCATCACATTTTAGCACGTAAAGCAAGGGTAAATAATGCCATGAATTTGTATGCGTAGCTTCAATGCCTTAAACTGTTACTTATCGAAAAACAATTTTATCACCCTATCATCAAAATAAACTCTACAGGAATATAAGTATTGATTTGCTTGGGCATTGCAGGGTGGTTGGACAAATTAAAGATTCTCTGCCATGGAACTCAGAATACAAACCAGATGGATTAAACCCAACTGGTGCATAGGTAAGAAATGGCCCTAAAAGACTTATGGCTAAAAATTGTCATTGAGGTTTTTGTGACAGTTATAACCGTAGGCTGCACTTCTTCCTTGGATGGATCATCACCAAGGTAATTCACAGACACTGGTTTCTGCCCTTCCCTGGTGGAGGTGGTACCTTCAGCAGAGGTGATGCTCCCCAGCAGACAGACTGTGCAGAGCAACCACTCTCCCATGGCTGGGACCACGCACAGTGATCTCAGCCACCCAGAAACGGGTTTTAAGAAAACACAAAGACATTTCTTTTAAGCTAGTCTACAACTGATAAGATACATTACCCAAATTTACACAAGAAATTACTCAATCAAAGCCTCATTAAAAATAATTTGACCTATTAGAAAGTGCTAACCAGCCATTGATCTGATTAGCCAATATTAAAAAAGCCAACCCTAACACAGTAATGCTGAAGTCCTACTCTACTTATGTAATGACAGTTTTGTCACTGATTTCATCATAGTTGGAAACCCACCTCACAAATGGTGAGAAAAATTCCCAAATATTTGCATCCACGTCAAGAAAAGTCCTTCTTTTGTAGCTATTTAAAAGCAACATGGAAAGACATAGAGTCAAACCACCAGCTTAAAGTGTAAAGAAAATTTTCCAGTGCGTTAGTTTTAACTTCACTGTGTACTGATAAGCTAAAATATAAGTTCCATCACAAAATTCCACTACTGTGTCTCTCTGAACAACCAGTTGTTTCCTAATATAAATTATAAATGTAAATCCTTTTCAATGTACTGTAACATATATTCTCTAAATGCAGAGTCAGGCTCAGAGAAGGTTTGTTTGATGAATTGAATCTGTCCATTTGATTAAAGGCCACATCCTCCATCAATGCATTTTCCTACGTATTTTTTCACATGTAAGTTAGAATACATGACAAAGTTTACAGTCAAACCAATTCACTATAATTAACCGAAAGCCTTCAGAAGTCTGAATTTCTAGCTAGCTTTTTTTTCTTTACAGTCAGTATAATTAGCTGTCGGTGGCTACAGTGGAAACAAAACTCTGTACACACACACACACGCATACATAAATATTAGGACTGTGGTCAAACCAGGCTTGGTACACAACCTCTTCTGATTTTGATTGCTGATTTTAAAATAGCCAGACTCATGCATTTCTAATTCAAATTACATGCATCAACTTAAAAATACACACACAAAAGTATTCCCGATTTAGCACAACTAACATCTTAACCAAGCAATGCAGTTAGACTTTTTTTTTTTTTTAAATCCAAAATTAATTTTGAATATGAGGATCAAACCATCTAACTCGTATTCTTTAATCAGCCATTTTACGTTAGTAAGGCAGTAATGTTGACATGAAGTTGCTTTGAGCAACACAAAACATATGCCACAGTGCACTCGTTAAATAACTCTGCATAATGAGTTCCATCTATATAAATGACTTACCTCATTACTTATCACAAGTTCTTCTCCATGACTGTGGAAGAGGTATTCATATAGTTTATAGTGTTTAAATAAGCTGGAAAACAAGAGAATTTAGTACTATTACAGCTGTAAATCTTCAGAGAGGTAACTGTGTTAAAAATTCTGTTAAACTAAGAGTTACTCTCCAGCATGGTAATACTCCAAATTCTAAAAAGAAAGGCTGTTTAACTTCAGGTACAATATGCAGAATATTTAATTTACAGGATTTATTATCAGACGCCTGTAGAAAATACAGTGTGATACTTAAAGATACAACCATTTTGTCCTTGTGAAATTGAACGCCGAGAGACAAAGTTCTACTCTGAAAAAAAAGTAATTCCTGAAGCACTTATCACCAGGATACTTATGACTTTAATATCAGCAACAGTGGACTAGAAGGAAACAAAGCCAAACCAGCTTTCAGATCCTAGGATGGGCTGCCGGTCCAGGGAGCAAGTTTGATCTTGGAACACTAAACCAATAAAGAATGGAATATTCTCTCAAGGTCATGCTTCAAAATCAGTGTAGTATTTCCTCAAAAGAAAAACTAAAAAAAGAGATTGACACGCTGGATTTTTGTTTATTACAACAAAAGTAACTTTAAGTAGAGTTTCTCAACGGCCCAAAATATTTATCTTCCTTAAAACATATATGGCTTTCCTTTTCACATGTTTTAAATAATGTTTCTTGTTCCCTTTCCTAATGATCAATGATATGGCATTTGTTTAATCAAAGGTTTGGTTTGTCACAGGCCATCTGTTACAATTACTTGTTCTCTTAAAATCACGGTACAGGACTTCTGGCTTCTGTCACGTAATTTTGACATATGATTCAAAACACTGCTCTGTGATTTCATAGCAAGTCCAGGTTGAAGGATGATTCCAAGAGTTTAAGTGCACTCCTGCCTGATGTACCCATGAAAGTCACGGCAATATTTACAGGGGACATCTGTAACTGGTTCCTGTGCTTTCTGGCTAAGGACGGGACACAGCTCCTTTTCTCAAGACAGCCATCGACTGGGACAGCAATGCCTCTTCGATTAGCACTTGCGAGGCCACATCCGGAACGGTGAGGCTTGCTGTGAGGAGGGCTTTGGACAAGGTGGCCTCCAGAAGTCCCTTATAACCTCAATTTTCCTATGGGCCTATGAAAGTAAATACTACACCCGACATGCACAACCATCTAGCTAACGGTAAAGACCCTGCTGCTAGCTGCGGGATATCACGCTGACGCTGCGAAAGCGTGTTTGCAATACCAGTGCCTGGTTGCTCTTCGACACGTGGTGTTCCCCACAGCTCTCTGGGGCTATTCTGGCTGGCTGCCCCCCAGCACTGAGGCTTTTCCCCCTCACAGCAGCCTCCCATCCCAGCACGGCCAGCAGAAGGGCTTGACCAGCCACCTGCGTGCAAACCAGAGGCTGCTGCCGTGAGACACCGGTGTCCAAAACACAACCCTGGCTCTGGGAAGCAACAGGGAAGCCAGCTGTGGGACTTGATGCTCTGTACACATTATTTTAGCTGACTGTCCTCCCCTGCATCACCACTGGTACTTACACACTGTGCAGGGCACTGCCACAGTACCAGAGGGTCCACGAAATACCACAGACCAGAGATGGTTTGCTCTAATTTCAGCAGTGCTGAAGTGCCAACTAACGTACAGCAGTGGTTCTTCCAGGCCATGAAAGCAGCTCGGAATTAGGAAAATAAAATGGTGACAGGGCCTGCGTCCCTCACAAGACAACACCACATCTTCCAGCAGTTCAGTCAAGTGTATCTGTGAAACTTTCACACACATTTTCCCCCGGATGGGCGCAGACGTTTTTGCACATATGTACAGATGCATTTCCTAATTTGGTGAGAAGTATTACGGCAGCCTCACTGAACATTTGGCTCTAAGTGTCATATAAAAGTTTTATTCTACAGTTATATTTAATTCAGTCATTCAATTACCATCAGTTAAAAAAAACCAAATTTGTTTACCAACTTGCATGAGAAATTTGGCTACCATAAAATAAAAGTTCCCTTCCCCCCAACCCAAAGCACATAGGCAATTCATTAAATTGTTAGAGTATTTGCCATTTCAGTTGCAGTACATTTTTACTGCAGTACTTCACCAACAAAGTCCTGCTGTGTTTCAGTGGAGATGCAGGAATTATGTTTAAGCAGACTTCAGGATTTACCTGGAAACGACTCACGTCAATTTATGAAAATACACATGTCCCCTCATGTACACACCTAGTGCTTGGCAAAAAGTTTTTTGTCTTTGAAAAAGACAAAAATGTTTTATGAACAACACACACACAGAAGAAATAATATATATATTTTTCAAACTGCATTGGCAGGACTTAACATTTCAAACTCTTTTCTTATATTTATTCCGGTGCCTTGGAAAGGAGCTAGATTTACAGCACCTGAAAATCAGTTCTTCCCTTTCCCCTCTAGAATGTGCTATGATATTCTTTATGGACTATGTTACAGATACAGATAATTTATAGTATTTAAAAAAAAAAAAGTAATTTCTTCTGGCATTTCTAAATTTTTATTTATTTATTTTTAAATAGAACTCTGTTCAACCTGGCATCGTTAATCCTATATCAGAAAAAGAATTCCTCCATTAATGCTCTCAAATCATGTAAATTATACATCAGTATTTATTTTGAAACAGTGTAGGTTTTTGTCTTCTATCAGGCATTATATAAAATGCTTTTTTGTTTGCATCTGTCATGAACAATTATAAAATTCCATACTAGTGTTTTTAGCAATTACACAGAAATACTTTTACCCATACAAGTAAGATTGTTAAGAATAGACCTTCTTATGATGTCATATGAGAATCTGAAGGTGATTAACAATGACATATTTCTCTAGCTCCACTGCTTCCTGAAACAAAATGTCAAGAGCGATGTTGATGTGTGTTTGCCCAAGGAGACAAGATAAAAAGATGATAACTGTCACCTTCCACCAAAGGTGTCATGATAGTTGCTGCACAGTTTGTGCCAATGTGGTTAAGCATTTGTCCCCATTTCCATTATAAATCCCAAGGGTTTATAGCTCATCTGTAAAGATGTGATCTGAACTAAAACATGTCATACTACCTTGTGTAGGAAAAAAAAAAAAAAAAAAAAAAAAACTATCATTTAAAATTAAACAAAAAAAAAGTGAGGAACAAGAAAAAAATGTTGAAGTAATACATTAATTTGAATTGTAATAAAACTCAGTCAACCTATTTCTGAGTTCATAAAGTTCAAAATGCACCCACACAAGTGTGCTGATCTTGTTCTTATTGAGAAAAAAATATTCAAATGACTGAAATAATGGACTGTATAAACTGAACACATACGACACATTTCAGTGTACGTGTATATCTCCATGATCTTGCAACTGCAAGTGCTTGTAATAAATTGAGCAGTTTGAACACACAACCACATATTTGGTGGCCAAAGTACCATTCTGCTGCAAAAATCCTGTGGCTTGATTGTATTCCTGCCCAGTTCATACTTCGGCGTGGTGGGATGGAGCACCTAATCTCTTGGATGAAATTCTTGTGTCTGTGAAGGAATTACTTCACGGACAAGATATCTTTCAACGGATAATTTACACAAGAGCTATAGACATGGTATTTGGAAAGAATATTTGTTCCAAACAATTATACAAAAGACAGAGAGACAGGAAAGGAGAAGTAAAAGAAGTTGAGTGAGACATCTTAAATGCCAAGTTTCCTTTTAGTTTAAGGCTAGTACTTGGCAGGACATTGGTTTGCCCTGACTACAGAAATTCATGATTTAAAGAGATGCTTTCATTTAATATGGGAAGAACCTGAAGTTTTTTAGATTTTCCATGAAAAAGAAGCAAAAGCAAAAAAAATAAATATCAGAGAGCAGGAGAAAGAGACAAACTTTATAGCCCAACTGTAAGAGAAATTGATGGGTTTAAATCCCCAGTCTGAATCTGAGTACCCTAAACTGGAAGGCTATCAGCTGTCCTAGTAATTTTGTCTGTCTTCAAGAGGAAATACTTTTCTGCATCCAGGAAAACACTTTAAAATGTGTTAAACTTTTCCTAGCAAAAGAAGAGTCAGAAAATTCCCAACTATTCAATGTATGGATCAGTCATGACCTCACTCACTTTTTATGCCCATCTGCTACGAAATCTCTCCCTCTAACCACCGTTCAGGTCAGAAAATAGGCTGAAGGGCTACAGATGTAGTTGAGCGTATAAGCACATATTAGAGTGGAACCTTCTCCGTTTTCCATCTCCTTGTCCCTGACATTCAGCGGTGATACAACAGCTTGAGAACCATTCTTTCCATCACGCACTGGCACAGCGGTATATGAGCGTAGCCACTTAACTACGGCATTTCAGTGGAGAAGCGTCTGTACACGGTAATGTAGAGTTAAGACTTTACATGGAGAGGTGTGATTGGCTGCTATCGAACCCTTAATTTTTTTTTTCTCAGATAAATAACTGAATTACTGCTTTTGTATCTCTTTCTGGGTCTCTGTTTAAAAGCTGAGACCTGCCACAAATCCTTTTCATGTAGATAATGAACTGTTGCTAACTTTGAAATGAGGCATTTTTTAAAACTCATATATGACCGTAGCCTTAATTCTGTGAAGTACATAACTTCAGACCACTTAAGAAGTCCTCTACAGCTGTCAAGGCCAGACAGATACTTAAGGCTAGAGAGACAGGACCCAGGATTTTGTTCAACTGGAATCTAAAAGCAGAATGTTTTAAAAGCAAACCAAGAATATTTTCTATACACTCGCCTCTTTTCCTTTTATCACCCAAAACAAAACCCACAGGGAAGCTTTGTCAGCATAATCTCACATTTTGATAAACTTTCAGTCTAAATTAATTTCCTGGGCTTTGACACCAGAGGCCAGATCTTTGTTATCTGCATATTCTCTCTTCTTCTGGATGTTTTAATGTTTTAAAGTTTGGTGCGTGCAGTATATTGGCACAGTATGAACATGTCCAATTAAATAATTTCAATTTATTTTAACATCTGATTTCCCACCATGTTAAATTATTGAAATAAGAAATAACAGATCTTGTAGAAATAAATACCTGATATTCAAGTAATCAATGACTGCTTTGGCTTGCTCAATGCTGAAGAAATTCAAGTCACCACTTCTTTCTGAATCAGTTTCTCCTATTCCAGCCAGTGCTCTTCCAAGTTCTTTTAAATTATCTACTAAGGTCATATGTTTGTCTGCAAAGTAAGCCCAAAGAACAAAAACTAAGTATAAACATGATAGGGTGGGGGTTTTTTGGTCTATTTTAATTATGACTTCTTGAAGTTTAGGAAGTTATGAGTCATGTAGAAACTTAAAAAGCAACCACGGTCAAACATTTTTGTCTGTTGCCATTGTTATCATCAATAAAATGTGCATTAAAATTCCATCACAAAATCACTAATCCACCTACATAATGTAAGGATCCCAGTAATGGGTGTTTAAGATACTACAGCTTGGCCTCTAACTTATGCAGAGATAACCACAGGCAGAAGACTATGTAAATTTAAGATGCATAGTATGTTTATATTTAAAATAAATTTACTACTGTTTATGTATTGTAAAAGATTGTTCTTCTAACCATGACCCTTGTAACAAAAACCATTAATACACGAACAGATATTAAAAAGGGTAACCAGGTTTTTTTTAAAGTGCTTCCAGTTATAATCGATTAAACATGAATATCCATAATACTCTCTGTGTATCATCAAACTTGAAGACACTTTTGCACCCCCTCCAAAATAGACACTTTATATTTTTACCCTGGAAATCAAAACCAAATGCCAAAACAGCTCTGAATTAAAATTTACATTCTTTAAAGTGTCTTGATGAACAGGAAAATCTGAAACATATCAGTGTTTGTTGAACCTTTAAAAAGAAAGGATTCATCATTCTGATTTACCTACAGTGAGTGCCACCACTAGAACCACCGCAGAGTTAAAAAAAAAAACAAAACAGTTTTGAACACAATTTACTTGTTCCTTCTAAGTCTAAAAAATCTAGAGTAGAAAATGGGGAAACATCCACCAGTGGTGAAATAGATTTATTTTCCTTATTTTTTTAATTCTCTACTGATCCAGTCCTTGGTTCTTTGTACGGTAAACAAATTAAAAAAAAAAAACAAAAAAAACCACACTTACAAGACTCTGGTCTTTATAGTTTTGCCCTTTAGTGGTACAGCAATCAAAACCCTGAAAATTTCACCTCAGTTTTCAGTAACAGAGGCAGCACAATATAAATAACCATAATGGAAGAAACAAGAAAGAAATACAGAGAATGCGGAGGAAATAGAAGCCATGGGAAATAAGGAAAAGTAATAGAACCAGAAGCATCATAGGTAGCAGGGAAGTGAAGCAACATAACAAGATCATGAGAAGTCACAATGCCCAGGTCCAGCTCTCTTGTCAGCTACTCCAAATTTTCTCTTGCCTCTGCACACCTGGTTTTCAGCCCCAGCTACGTCTTTTCGGGAAGGCTCTCACAGTACGTCTGCGAGGTAAGGAGCTCTTAACCCTTAATGTAATGACGATGAATCAAATCATATGATTAATACATTCTGGCTCCCAAACAACCAAAGCCTCCAGTTTCCAAACCTTAGTTTTTCTCTCTCCTTTACCAACCTTACATGAGTTACCACTACCCTCCTGCTCTAAATCCATCCTTCCTGCTCCATACTATTCTTGCTATTATGGTCAAACCAGCTTAATTCTCCAGGCTGCTTGGGTCCAGTGTAGGGAAAGCAAAGCAAATGGTCATTAATATAGAAGACATTAGCATTTTGCTCTTAGTTGAAATGTTTGGTCTTGGAACTTGCACCAGCTGAGAATAGTAATTACAAGGAAATTCATCTCAGCCCTGGGCTACAGCATACTTTATAAGATGGACTATTCAGGGAACTTAGCTGTGAAGAAAATACAAGAAGGCTTCCGTAAGCATTCACAGACTGCATTCTCTTTCCCTAAAACCCATGTATTTTAGCCAAATCTGAATGGATTTTCACAAGACAGCAAAAAGCAAGTTCACAACACTTGCTTGCCAAACCTTATGTCTTTACTTCAAAGCATAGGGGTATTAGAGCTGTTAAAAAAAAAAAAAGACACAAAAATAATTATTTTTGGTGTTTTTTCCACAGCCTCTGTCTGCAAGCCCATCGAACTGTTTTAGTTGTAATTTTATATATATTAAAAAAAAAAAAAAATAAAAATCAGAGGCAGGCACTGCCATGGAAAATTTCAGCTTAAAGAGTTAAAGTTTGGCAAGGCTTTACGAAACTAAGATCACATTCCTGAAAAACGTCAGACAGCTTTAATAATTGGTTGTGCTACCAGCCTGTCTAGTACACACGCATTACATACAGTCTCATAAAACTAATTTCTGACATGTTTCCATTCTTCTCCATTGTTATATTAATACAGTTAGCATATGTTAAGATACTTTCTCATTGGAGACAGGAAGGACAACTGGAATTCCAATGATCATAAAGCACGTACATATTCTGTCAAAATTCCAAGTCAGAAAGGCCCTTGAATTAAATTAGAAACAAAGAGTATAATAACTATTATGAGCTTGATTTTAAATATTCATCTTCTCTTTGAATGGAACTGCCGCGTCCTTTCACTCTTCCTCTGGGATGGACTTTTCTCGACATAATCACCTTCAAAGGGAATGTTAGGCAAGCATTGTGACCTCTGAAAAACGGGTTTTAGAGGATGCCACTACCATTTTTTCCAGCTATTTTGCTCCCACTGGACCCAAGCTACATGCTTTGTTGCAAATTTCCTCATAGCCACAGGAGCTACAGACCTTTCATGGTGATTTTTCATCTTCAGCAGTGATGCCAGTTTACTTCCCTCACCAGTCCTTAGTTAACTGATATATTTTGTGCCAAAAGTGGAGCACTTGCCATCTAGAAAGCTGCCTCAGAGTTGACCTCCAAGGACAAAATAAATGTAATTCACCTGCTGTAATGCTACAGGATGTACTGAATATCTCAAACAGCAGAGAAATGTGCCCAAGGCTACAGTGAGTGAGTCACTGAGACAGCTGGAATTGGAATTTAGGAGCTCCTTGCTCTCACTCTACTGTAATTATTATTTATTTTACCATAGCAAAGATGAGGTCTCTTCAGGACCTGGTCCTTTCGTACCACATACTGCACATACAAAGAACGAGGGATATTCTGCTGAAAAGACTACAGTTCTCTCCAGAAAAAAGTTCAATGTCTGCCAATAAGAATTATTTTCAGGTACGAGGTATAACATGCCAACATTCAAGAGGAAAATAAATCATTTTACAATTACTTGTAATTAAATATCACTTTATTAAAATGACTGGAAAACATTCTTGCCTTCCACTTCAGATATTTATTTTACAATTTTTAATTATACTTACCACTGAGGTTCTCCAACAGGAAATTTAATAGATCCATGAATCCTGAGAGCTGTATAAGACTGAAGTTCATTTCTTTAGCCCACCAAAATCCTGCAGTATAATAATCTAGCAAAATAGCTTCTTTCAAAGATGTCTTTAATTGTTTAAAATCCAGAAATTCTTCCAGTTTTCTAGAATAAATTACAGAGTAACATAATAAAATTGAAAAATAAATGACAGATTCCGAAGTTTAACCTAGTCTGCTTGCAATTATATCTAAAATATTTACTATTATATTTTATATATGTGTATATATCTTCCTGGAACTTAGCTAATTTCTGTTTATGAATGGTCACGATCAGAGCACATATCAACTGAAAAAATAAACAAACACCTGCAGGTTTTAACAGACACTGTTTAAATGTTAAGGTATGATTAATGAAATAACAAAAATAAAAGCATACAAAAAAACTAAGAGAAATACACTGAAAATCCCGGAGAAAAATCAGTGTTTGTTCAGGAAGGGTTTGTAGGAAGAACTGGAACAAACAGTCTCCACTTTCTGCTACCACTCTTTCATCCAGACTGAGACAGTTTCACAATACTAAAGAAGATCTTGCTTCCCTTTCAAGATTATTTTTCACGTAGCCTCTGAAGGAAAGTTACATTTGAAAATTAATGCAAATAACATAATATAAAATTACTGAAAGTACCTAAAATATTTAGAAGTTCAAATTCCACTTTCATAATGGTCAAGACATTTGAGAAGAGCCTCATCCTACTTTATTGGCACACTGTGGAAATTTTTCCACTTATTTTACTTGAAAAAATTAATGAAAACATACACTCCCTTGAAGGAGACCACGCTGTTACTGACACATTTATGTCTACTCTATCCAAACACAGAATTAGTTATGTCTTTTACAATAACTGTGCACATTTTTCCACATGAAGGGGGGGGGAATCAGGGCTAGGACTTCGGTTTGTAGTTCTTCTGATATAATTTCAGCCATGTCTCAAGTAATTAAGTTTTACATTTAAGCAATCCTTGTCTTTTTAACTATACTGGGTGATACAGGTGCCAGTTCTGACCACAGTTTCTTGTCCCTCCTAAAAGAGCAGTCTTTTTTTCACCCCCCTGCTTCTCATTCCTTCCTAAGAAGGGCATTAATCTCAGACCTCCTCACAGACAACCATTAGTTTTTCAAGGTTTTCACCAAACCAGTGGAGATACACTGTCAAGTAAGATGAATTTCTTTTTTTTTTTTTTTTAATTAAAGCCTCAATAGCTAACAAAGTAAAGCATATAATCCGATCAGTTTTGTTGAAAACATGTATTCCTTTGTTCTGCATAACAAATTTGTACGGCTGCACACATGCAAGTCGGTTAAAAACACTTAGCTGTGTACTGAAATAGAAGTGGAACGTGGCCAGCTGAACTTTCCAAGGTTTGAAACAGTCCATATCCTCTCTTTCTGAAGCTTCTGCCAACTCTGTGTTTTCATAATCAGAGCTTCTCAGGGATTTAGATTTTCTCTGATGCTGCTAACAATGCCAGTACTCATCTTTTCAATATTCTGTAAGGCATGTCACTGACAACAGTATCTATAAACGATTGGGAAATGATGGAGCATTTAGATTTCCTAGTTACCCTGATTGCTATTTCTTCCTTCACAGAAGGTACTTAAGTCTTACAGAGACGGACAGCAGTATAAAACTCCACCCGCAGGACATCAAAAATCTCCTACTGAATCAGATCTATCCTGATTTTCTAACCTTAGCTATGGCCTTCAAAGTACTCTTGTGTATAAACACGACGCACTATGGTAAATTAAAAAAATTTCAATGCTGCTGCTAAACCGCTTAGAGTGCATAAAATATCCTGTAACTATCCTCTTTTCAGTAAGATGCAGTATAGACTTTACGATCTGCTTGTATAATGTATATGTAAAAATACATATGTGATCAGCTGAGACTAAAAGGAAACGTACGATCTTTCAGTGCTTTTCTTATTAATCTTAATGAGAAAGTTTCACAATAAATTGCGTCATTAAGCACATTTTAGTCTCCAGTGAGCTGTATGCTTCAGTTCCCTCTAAAATAAGAGGCCTATTGTGCAAGAGAAAACAGTCAATGATTTTTTTTTAATCATTATTCAATGGGAACAAATTTTCTTTCCAGTTTTCTTAAAAAAAAAAAAAAAAATCACAAAGAACCTTTTTTTTTTTTCCCCCCTCGGAACAGTAACAAATAGGTGGAAGAGAATATATTTCAGGAATAATATTTTAATCTCTACTAAATGGTTTACCTATTCAGAGGGACAAAATTGGATTTTTTATTCCTCCTCCCTCATATACCTCCCTCCCCACTAGTCCAGTGGACCAGCCCTTTGGCTTTCAATTCACTAAGAATTTCCTAGTGACACAAGTGCTCATAAATCATTCAGGTACTTCTGAAAAGTCCCATCCTTAAAATACAAGTCTAGAGTCTTAGGCTGAAGTCCTGGTCTCCTAAATTTACCTGCTATGAAGCACAAATAACAAGGGCGAGTGTTCCTACAGGACAGACAGTATGGGCTTACATCAGAAGTCTTCGGCTGCCTCCCCAGTGCACCGTAACAGCTACCTACTAATACCTCTTTAAGCTTTCCATCCTTTTCTGAACTTTTAAAACCTTTCCAATAACTCATGTTATAGTACAGAATCTTAAATGTTTTAGCACAAAAAGTTAGCAAGCGAGTCTTGCAAAAAAAGCTCAGTATTGGCCTGTTCTTATTTATGACTTACTATTTCATTTACAGCATATTTAATGCTATTGCAAACTCAGAAATCATATCATTGTGAGATATCAGTGGGGAAAAAAAAAAAAAAAAGAGTCAAAAAGCAAGATATAGGAAGTACAGTCAAAGTGGATCTGAGATCAACAGTATTTCCTCCTGATTTTCATGAATTGTATTAAATATAAATGATTTAACTGAACAATTAAAGACTAGTGACGTAATCAACACAAAAGAAATGTAGCGTTGTCTATAATTTTTATTTCATTATTATATTGGTTCTAGCATTGTTATCACTGCCACTTACCTTTGAACTCCTTCTACATTTTGTTCTGACAAAGCAGTAATTTGGGAAAGAGAAAGAAACGTCCAATTAATAGTCTTCTTTCCACCTATGGCATCCTGATCTTGGTCTTCTTCCTACGGACACATACGTATACAGGAATATAATTCTTAAAGGTTTATTTTAGTATGCCAATGACTTATCTAAATAACATTTTTTATTTTGAGGAAGTAGGCAAGGGATTAATTCAACAGATGCCAAAAATGTAACACAGCTATAATGATATGGCAGCCACACAATAGCCTAACACATTTTCACTAGAGAAAAGCTAGGCAGATACATGGAAAATAGTAATTTTTATCATAAATTCATGTGGGACCATAGTGACATATTATATGCAGCACAAGATTAAATTAACTTCCAAGTAAAAACAATGGAAATATAAAGGTGAAAAAAAAATCCATGAATCTAGATTTGATACTAGATTCCACATGAATTAAATTTTAAAAACAGTTTCTGCTTAAGATATTATGAGTATGCATACACATTACCATAATATTTGGCCTCCACCCTCTACTTGATTGCATTTTCAAATTTACTGTCTACACTGACTCCTTCCCTAACCAGAAAAAAAAAATAGTCCAAGATGTTTGCTGCCACACAATGGTACACATCCAAGGATCTGACAGTACTGGTTAGGGAAGGTCGGTATATTTGTTACACAGAAGGCAGTTCCTTACGGGAAATAGAAGGATGTATGTGTTATAGGGGATAACAAACCGAGCACGATCCAACAACACAATGATCTTACGAAAAACAGGAACATTTGAGGATATTTTATTTAGCGTGTGTCCCTGAACAAAATCATTTGACCAAAGACTTCAAGAAAAAAATCTTTGAATAAAAGAGTAAGAAAAAAAACCTAGTTTATAATAGAATATGTAGGCAAAGCAAGGTATCAAAGCAAATTATCAAATGTGAGATGAGGCAGACTCTTTACAAGGGTTCACGCCAGGGGAACAAGGGACAATGGGAATAGAATAGAATAGAATAGAATAGAATAGAATAGAATAGAATAGAATAGAATAGAATAGAATAGAATAGAATAGAAAGAATAGAATAGAATAGAATAGAATATTTCAGTTGGAAGGCACCTACAGTACATGAGCAGAGGACAGCATAAAGAAAAATATTTCACTATGAAGATAATGAAGCAGTAGAATAGGTTACCCAGAAAGGTGTAAGGATCTCTATCCTTGCAGGTTTTCCAGACTGAACTGGACAAAGCCCCAGTCCCAACGGTCCCTTCCAGCCTCACACCTGCTGCCACACCAGGCCACCAAAGCCTGGTCACAACGTGATCGCAGCAGGAACACTTCTACATCTGTGGGACGCGGGCTTTACAGACGTGCAGCAAGGCAAACCTTGCAGAATAACCTCTAGCTCACCTAGAGAGAGAGAAGTGGAAGATTTCCTAACAGGAGCTGATTTTTGAGCCTGAACAGCATTGTTCTGAGCTAATAATTAACCAACTCTAGCACTGGTCAAGGAGAGCCCCCAAATAAAGGTACACTACTCCCCCTGCTGCTGCCAAACTGCAAGATATACTTAAAACTCGGACCAGCTGAATTAGACAACATTCAAGGCTGACGAAACAAGCAACAAAGAACATTTAGTGGACAGACTAGTTTTTTTCCCCTCTAAGTACTAGAGTACTTTCACATCTACTTTAATATGAAAAATTATTGTTCCCAACTGTAAGGAAATTAGTCTCAGATACAATGTCTCATCAGAACAGGAATTAAGTAAATAAAGGCTTCCTTCACATCATTAACAGCATGATATTAATATGCCTTTGCTTTACTAGCAATAATTCATACAGAATAAAAAGAAGTACTCCTACAATCAGTAAAATTGATATAACTGAGGATGAATGCCCTAGCTAGTGGGGGGAAAAAAAAAACAACAACTAAAAAGCTCAACATGCTAGTATTATACAATTATTGAAAGGTATTTCTGAATAATTAGGAAAAACATGAATGCTTTCCTGAAGTGACCAGTGGTGTTAGAAGCCTGTTGAACAAGAGATTCTTCAGAAGCAGCACGAGCTGAAATAAAATAACTGAACTAATACTACTTGTTCATCTCTTTCTCTCAGGATGTTCAATACATACAATACCTTACCGTGTATTTTTTTTTCCCTGTTATATAAAGTGGTATATTACCAGTCAGTCAACACCTTACCAACCATACTTCTTAATAAGGCAAAATGATAACAATTTACAGGTATCACCCTGGATGGACTTTATCAGTATAGCAGGAGCAATTTAGCACTGTATCAGGGGGAGGAAAAAAAAAAAAAAAAAGTTCAAGGCATAATGTTTTTTTCTCATCAAGCTGTCTTCCAGCTTCTCCTCTGTGGTTACAGGCCAGGTGTGAGTAAAAACAAAGACCCTCCCATAACACTCTCAGCTACCCGCACGACACTCCTCCAAGATCACAGCAGTAGTCCCGTAAATAGAGGTACATCAACAGGTTTGGGTTTTTTTTTTTCCTCTGACTGCTTTTATCTCATGCTGTAAGAAGCAGGTTAGGAGGCAAAAAGTTGAACATTCTAGCAAGCAAATTTTTACCTGAATTCCCAAGAACCTTATCCAAATTAATTCCTCACTGCTTCTTAAAAGGTATCAAGCAACATCCATCATTTCAGAAAAAGCTTGTCCAAAAAGGAATTCTCTCCTGCCTCCAGTATGTACCTGGCTTACTACAGTATGAAGCTTTCTATCCTACATCGTATCGACAGGTACAGCACATTTAACATGCTGATCTCATTCTCTGAAGTACAAACACAGCAAGAAGGACCTCTGGGAACATTTGCTGAAGTCTTAGTATGTAGCATGGCATTACAGCAATATATAAGCTATGTAAGATTACAAAAATTAATTTAAAAATAACACCAGGTGCCTTGCACTCAGTCACCTATAATCTCTTTCAGCACATTTAAAGGTCCCCAAGCATTAGAAATGTGTTCTTTAACCAACTAAAGTTTGCAGTTTAAACTTGAGAGATATTCAAGCTGTTGTGAGTCAGTACTGCAGATACGGCTCTGTAATCTGCGCATCAAAACCTGACAGTTTACAGGGCAAGGTGTTCACTTCCCACTTCACCATCTCGTCACCTAGCACCTGGCACCACAGTCCCAGCAGCAACACCCCCCACCAGTGCATTACTCCCTTTCTTAATGCTGATAAGGATGGATTTGTGGCACCACTGTCCACTCCAGCAAGCACAGGTATCAGATAATAAGAAATACTGTTCCAAATGACTGATGAAAAACTATGGGAGAGAAAGTACATAATTTAGAAATTATTATTTTTTTTAATTATAAATTTTTATGATATTTTAAAACGTATTGAGAGTCCATGAATCATCTGAACAGTCCCACATTTGTGGAAATTTTCTGTTTGGGCAGAACCTCTGCACACACATGACTAAAAGCTTACAATACTTTTGATTGAATACTGTTTTGTCTTCTGATTGCTGTCGTGACATGTTCACTGATGTCAAATAATATTCATTTTACCATTAATTGTAGAGACCAACTGAGTTAATAAAAGGTGAGTTAATTCTGGTCACACTATCCTTATGTGTTTGGAGAAAAACAACCCAAACCAATCCTACCGATACACACTCCCAGCAGTAGACTTAACCTAATTAAATACAGATTACTACTAGAGAATTATTTGTTACTGATTTATTTTCCTTCAAAGAATTTTGAGCTATTCTGAACGTATAGTATGTTTCTGGCTGTTCAATATGTTACTTCAAATGCTTTGGGCACCCCTTGTCAACAGCATCAAATCAAAATACCAAATCAGATATTCTAAAACAAAAGAGTAAGATCCTCCTTGATTCTCTCTGCCAATGTTCACAAACCACCATGAAGCAGAAAATACTAGCAGAAAAGTGATACAGTTTAATAGCAAAATGCACAAAACCCTCTGTATTTGGGGGAGTGGGGAAGAAATCTCTCAAAAACCCAAACCCCAAGTGAGTCATCCCTGGCTAGAAAAAAAATATGCCCCACTACCTGCAGTTTTGGTGAGGGCCTTTCTGGAGTGGCAAAACTTTGAAACACGGCAATGGACATGAGCACCAGTGTTCCTGAAGGAAAAGAAACTTCTCTTCACAAGGGAGAGGAATGAGCCCTCTGCAGTGGCTGAAGATGTTATTTGCATTTGTTTGACAATATACCACCATGTTTTGCAAAAATACATTCATAGAGGAATAGTTTAGCAGCTCTCATAAATATATAGCAAATACCCTAAGGGTAAAGAACCCAAGATCCTCCTGTCCTCACTCCATCAGGGAAATTAGACTGGACAAAACTCTGCTGCCACAGCTAGATAGTTTCTAGAATCTGAGCTAGTTCATCTAAAGCTAGCTCAGCTACCTCTGAGTGATACTGCTGACAGCAGTACAGATGTACCCTGAAAGAGTGTTGCATATCAGTTACAACTTTAATCAAAATGGGAAAGAAAAAGCCCACAACACCCCACACCAGCAACACAGGCTGTTATTTGTATTATTATACGCATTTTGTTATCAAGCTGTCAAATACTTCAGCAGAAGCAGAAAGTCTTGAAGCTGTCTACATAAATAGTTAAGGCAGAAGCAGAAATGCATCCACTGTTCCTGTTTGTTTTAAAAAGGCCCCACTTGTCCGCTCCCACAATGGGAAGTTAAAATCAATAGTTGCTATTTTTAGTCGTAATATTTCTTTTGTTGTCAAACAAATGAGAAAACAAAAATAGTAACGCTGATTTGAACCAAATTCAAAAGAGAAATATGCAGATATGTCATGCAAAAGATAAAACCCATAGAGAAGTAAAGCTTTCAGAGGACCATTGTAAACCACAGATAACGATAGCGCCCTTTTAATAACAAAATATGTTTCAAATATATCACACAATCCAAACGCCAAGATTTATGGATGACCAAATGTATTATGACATTAAACTTTACTGATGTTTTCACAGCTGCAGACTACTTATTGGAAAAAACGTTGTTAAAAATAAAGTAGTGGCAAGACTTGCTAAGATCAGAATTCAGATTTTCTAACATGCTTTCTGCTGAAAGTAATTACAAGTCGGAACAATTACAAAAGTATTCAATTTAAATCAAATGGAACTGTCTCAAGACCTAAGAGAAAATTTAACAAAACCAGTGGCAGAATACGGTGTTCCCTACAGCTTACATACAGTCCACGCAAAGCTAGCTTCAGCCAAAACTAGAGACTATATAATTTATAAAAACGCACAATTATGCAGAGTTTACAGTAAAAATAATTCATAAAAGACAGTAGGAAATACCACAAAGGTAAGCTATTGTGTGTAAACTGAATATATATAAGGAACAAAAACCATGTGGAAAAAAAAGATTCACTGAATTTCTCTAAAAATTCCCTTTGTAAAGCCATGAAGAAAAAGCGACAAAAAAAAATCTCACTCGCGCTTTTCAAAGGGTTGTACAATATGTTTTTGACAGCCTGTTGTTTCCGATACAGTACACCTTGTATCCTTCCGCTGCGATCTCACAGCGTTACCCCAGTGTTACGCTGTTCCTACTGCCAAAATACTTACAGGGAACACTAACAGAATACTGTGAAAGATACATACATTTTTTATAAAGCATTTAGAATACATAGTAATACATCTCACGTGGAAGAGGACTGATTTATTTAAGGAAACGTAAATGTTAAGCTTTTGTACTGACAATCACTAGGGCAGCTTTGTGCCAACAGATGCAACCATTACCCTGGCGGGAAGCGGTTAATCACTTCCACACCAGCCAGAGAAACTTCTCGGCCATCTGAGACAACAAAGCAGTTCAGGCAGAAGAGAATTATCTCGTAGTAGCTACAACTATATGGATAGGCTTGAGGGAGAAATTCTGAGCTGATGGCAACACTTCATACGTTCTTGGGAGGAATAACTTGTATTCTTCTATTTCTTTCGACACGCAGCACGAGATGAGTTGCCTGACTGTCAGAAATCACATCTCTGTCAACCAAGTCAAAACATGCAATGAAAAAAAAAAAAAAAAAAAAAAAAAAAAAAA